GTGCCCGCTTTGGCCTCCCAAAGTGCTGGCGTGAGCCACTGCACCCGGCTGGATGTGATTGTTCTTTAGAGAACTATGTATGAAAGATCCTAGGAGCAACACCCCAGTGGCCTGAACGCCTGCTCACCTGTAGCCCTACTCAACTTTCAGGGCCATCATCTGGCCCGAAACTAGAAATCCTGCCCGATAGTAGTGGTTAAGTCTTTTTCTCCTATTGGATTGTAAGTTCTTTGTAAGCAAGGGACTGTATTTTATTCGTTTGTATTCAGCACAGCATCTGACAGAGAGCTTTGCACATTTTTGAGTTTTAAGTATTTGGCAATGGGTGAGAAAATGTTCTGTATCTTCATTCGTGTCAGTAGCGTGGTTGGATTTTCAGTCATCGTTCTCTGTTTCCTTTTCAGATGGGTTTGGGTTTAAATTTCTGTCCTACCAATCCCTAGTGGTGTTAACTTGGGCAAATTACTTAACTCAGCCTCATTTGCAGGGTTGTTGTAAGAATCTGGAATTAAATATTTAAAGTGTCTGGCAGCTGCTATTATTATTATTTTGCTTGTCTTCAAAGCAGAAATTTCCTGGCTTGTAGCTTATGAATTCACAGTTGTGAGCTCCTGTGTTTTTTATAATCACGTTTCCATTTGAAAGGTTTAACTCCTATTATGTAAGGCTGGCTTCAGTGAGGGGTTGCTATTTGACCTGAATCTTGAAGGATGAGTAGATACTTAAAAAACATAAATGGATGGAAAGGTGTTCCAAACAGAGGGAACAGTATGTGCGAAAACCCAGGGTTATGAAGGAGGGACACGTAGGGGAAGTTGACCACGGCTCAAGTGGGGGCATAGGTGATGATGGTCGATGGACGAATCCATTAGTAGCTAAGCATGTGGGTGGACAGGAGCCAGACTGCAAGGGCATTGTCTGAGATGCTAGATTTGGGTCATCAGTAATGGGGTCAGATTGGTATTTTAGCAAGGTTCTTCTTTTCTTCATTAATTTTCTATAAGTTTTCAATGAATCTATTAACAAAATATTCTTTTGTTTTGATTTTTGGAAACAGGGTTTCACTCCGTCACCCAGGCTGGAGTAGTGTAGTGGCATCATCTCAGCTCACTGCAGCCTTGACCTCCGGGCCTCAAGCAGTCTTTCCACCTCAGCCTCCCAAGTAGCTGGGATTACAGGTGACTGCCACCATGCCTGGCTAATTTTTGTTTTTTGTAGAGACAGGGTTTCACTATGTTGCCCAGGTCTTGAACTTCTGAGCTCAAGTGATCCACCCACCTCAGCCTCCCAAAGTGCTGGGATTACAGACATGAGCTACCATGCTTGGCTCATATTTATATATAAATTAGATATATATTAACTGATATTTATTATATAATATTTATATTTAATTAGATATTTTTTTAATTAGATTAATGGCTGGGTACGGTGGCTCATGCCTGTCATGCCAGCACTTTGGAAGGCCAAGGTGAGTGGATCTCTTGAGGTCAGGAGTTCGAGGCCAGCCTGGCCAACATGGCGAAACCCTGTCTCTACTAAAAATACAAAAATTGGCTGAGTGTGGTGGCATACACCTGTGGTCCCAGCTACTCAGGAAGCTGAGGCAGGAGAATTGCTTGAACCCGGGAGGCAGAGGTTGACAGTGAGCTGAGATCATACCACTGCACTCCAGCCTGGGCGACAGAGACTCTTGTCTCAAAAAAAAAAAAAAAAAAAAAATTAGATTCATGAACTTTGTGTGGCTAGCTCACAGTCTCACCTGCATCTCCTCTGCCCTCTTTGTCATGTTGACAGTTAGACATATTGAAACGTATTAAAGGTTAACTTTTCCCAAATTTTTCCATAACCTTCTTTTGGCCTCAGGGTTTTCTCAGCAGATTGAATCTATATCATCTTTGGACCCCAGCGGCAGCAAACGAATGCCAGTCATTGTTTGTGTACTCTCCTTTCTGTGCTAATGTAACACACACCCAGCCAGAGGCTTTTGAACACACCTGAAGTGTGTAAGCAGGTTCAGCAAATGGGGTGGCAAGCGTCACTGCTTCTGTTTTCAATATTGTTTTGTGTCTTGTAAACGAGCTGAGGTTTGGGGAAATGATGGAAAGGCGGCACCTTCTGTTCCTGCTTTCCCTTGGGCATCCCATGGAATGTTGGCATCGGGCGTGGCAGGTGTTTCTGCCCATGGTCCTGGGCATACCCGCATGCATGCTGCCCATCGTCCTGCCCGTACCCACGTGGCTTCTACCCATCATCCTGGCCGTACCTGGGCATCAGCTGCCAGGCTTTCCTCTTTGTCCATGCTCTGTCTCTGGCTCCTTTTCTCTGCCAGCCTCTCTCATGCTGTTCCTCCTGAGAGGTCTTCCAAGTGCTTTTTTCCATCATTTGTACTCAGCCACTCTACCATTGTTCTTCCTGTCTGGTTCTCTTAAATCCAAGCCCACACCTTTTCAACTCCACATCCTGAGTCAAGTGTTTGAAAGCTGTTATTTTATGTTAATTAGAAGTTCTTTCTCCAGCCAAGAAGGCTTGTTCAAAACTGTTCTCCCAAGCTGAGGCTTAGAGATACACTCTGGCGTTCTGTCCTGTGGGTAGTTAAAGGAATCATGGTTCATTGCTGATAGAGGCATCCCTCTGCCAGCTGTGGGGCAGGCACCATTGGAGGGGAGTTCTTGGAGTGGCCGCAGAGAGCTCCAGCCTGAACAGCACCTGCATGGCTTCCTGGACTCCCCACAGTCCTTGAGGGGATCTCCCCTTGCCACAATTGCATGGCAACCACTCCTCACCACCCCCCAACCCAATGGTGACCTATTTGGCAGCTTCTCCTTGTGTCAGCTCTCCCATTGACGCCAGTTTGGTGGGAGACTTTGATGGAAAAGTACTCCCATCATATTCTGGACTCAGGCAGACTTCAGCAGGAGTTAGTCTCTGGTTTCCTTAAATACCCCACCCCCTGGGCACCCTGAGTGGCTGCTATGTCTTTTAGGCAGTCTTAGTAAAGCTTCAAAAGCATTTCTGCTTCTTGAGATGTTTTTGAGCAGAAGCTGAGCCCTATTCTCACATCTTGCCTCATTCTTTGTGCCCACCCGCTTGTAGATCAGGGACTATACCCCTCCCTTTACCTGGACCGTTGTCCCATCACTCCAGGCTTCTGCAAGCCCAGGCATGGGGAGGCTGCAGCCCTGGTGCCACTGGGAGCACCACACCGCCTTGGACTTCCTTGTTCCATTTGGAGGGGGTGCTTGGTGTTAACCCATTCCCAAGCTTGGGCAGTGATGGGTTAGGACCACTTTCATTCCACCTCTCACAGATGAAAAAGAGACTTTCCTCCTATAAGGTGCCTTTGAATGAGGACATCACATCATGCATGGTGAAGGAATTCTCCTGGATGTCCAATTGGAATCTCTAAAATAATTTGCGTTATCTTCTGTGGTTTATAGAAAAAGTAGTGGGTGAGTAAATGCTGATTTAAGGCCTGTCGAACTGAGAGCACAATTCTAGGAACTGGAGGTGAGGCTACAGAAAGGCAGAGAGAGAGAGAAAGAGAGAGAGAGAGAGAGAGAGAGAGAGGAAGAAAATCACATCCAGAAAACAACCAAAGAGCACCAGAGCCCCAGTGTCCTTAGGTAAGGACCAGTGAAGAGTGGTGAACACCACCTGCCGAGAGAGCTTCTTCCGAGGACCTTGGCAGCGTGCGAAGTGCCCAAACACAAGGCCTGGCACACGGGACACCTTCAGTCAGCAGGAGCTCCTCCCTCTCTTCTTCCTCTGTTTATTATTAACCACAGATACCAGCTAATATGGCACAGACTGAGTAGAGAAGATAAGGGGGTAAAACTGGTATCGGCTAAAGACTCCCTGAGGTGGGGTTTTAGTTGGATTTGGGAGGAATTAAAGAAAGACGTGCATGAGTAGAAGTTACAGTTGAGGACGTGGCATGTATAGCCATAGCATTCTGCCGGAAATGTCGCATTTGGCCTGTGGATTATATTGGCAGAAGTAAAGGGTCCGATCAGATGAGATGGTGAAAGAAGACTGGCTAGTTGGTGGATTGCCTTAGAGGACTAGATGCAGAATTTGAGTTATTATATTACAGACAGTAAGTAAGGGATCATTGTAGTTTCTCAAGGTGGGAGCAAAAATGAGTTTTGGAGATCTTCATAATAAGATATCTGAGAGCTGGGTAAGTCAGGGGACAAGAAGACCACCAGGAAAAAACCTGGGCTCATACTGGGACTTTCACTAGGATAGTGGTGACAAGTCCAGGGTCCAGGAGAGCTGATGTCTATAGGCACTCAGGCTGATGTCCGCAGAGAGACATGAGTAGAATCTGGAAATGGCATTACCCTGAGGGGCCATGAACGAGAGAACATTTTGAGCATGGCGCTCAGAAGTTCTGGATGGAGGGTGAAGCAGTTGATGGAACAAAAATAGGGAAAAGAGACCTAAGTGATCGCAGAACAAGCCCTAGGTCGTCAGTAGCAGGGCTGGGAGATGCAGGAGCTGTGGGCCTATGCTGGAGGCTGCCCTTCTTCATGGGCCTTCCGTTCAGCCTTTCAAAGCTCACAGGATGGTGAGCATCATTGTGGAGGGTTATCTGTAGATATTTATATCAACTGAGTCATATCTGCTGTGTAATTCTGTAAACAAACCAAGGTTTGCTTTTAATGAGTTTTTGAGGTTTCACAGGTAAATTGGTTTGGTTCTAAAAAGCATGCTCTTGATACATTCCCTGTGTTCTGAATAAAATTGGCCACTCTGGTGCTTTCAGCCCGACCGCAGGGAGTCATGTCCTGCTTGCATCTGCCTTTGTGTGAGACCTATGCAAAGCAACACCTTGAGCCGGGAGTTCTGGAATCCCGCTTTGCTTGGGCCACGCGTGTGGATGTTCCCTTTCTGAAATGAGTATAGTTGCTTCTGCAGCTAAGCCCACCACTTGTCTTGTTGAGATGGGGACTCTGTGGCTTGAGCTGTGGTGGTTTCTCTCTGTCTCCCCACTGCAGACTACTGTTTTCCAAAGTGAAGTTGGAGTCTCTCTGCCGGGGCCCGGATGAGGCGCTCCTGACTTGTAAGCACATGCTGCAGATATGGAAATCCTGCTACAACCTCACCAACCCCAGGTAAGAGGCCAGCAGGGCCTGCTTTGCTTGGCTTTTGCATAGGTCCCTGCCTATCAGGGCCCTCTCTGACTGGCATTTAGCAGGCATTCACTCTGTCACCCCTGTGCACCTCCAGGCCCCCACAAGTGGCAGATCATAGTGGTGGAGCTTCACACTCCTTTTTAAGGGCTGTTTTCCCAGTGGCTGAGGAAGCCTCCAGATCCTGGGATTCTTTAGTTTTCACCGCCCTGGTGACCCACTGGGTTCAATTCACAATGGAGCTTTATCCAGTTTCTCTCTCCCATCTATTTAACTAACTCCTTTGACAAGTCTTAAGTCTTATCTTTCTGGTAATTTATGTATAGGCCAGTCACTTATGTGTTCCAGATGGGGTTCCTGCCGTAATACTTAAAAGACCTGCACAGACAACAGACTGAATGCTACTAAGAAGAGAAGCGGCTATTGGCATGATAAAATGTCATTGTGGAAAAGTTAAAATCATGACTCATACAACTGTAAAATCAACACAGGTCAAAGATTTTATTTACCTTATTCACTAATGCAGGAACCAGAAAAATGTTAAGACTTACTCACAGAAGAGTTTGAGAACAGGTACACATAGGCAGGAGCACCGAAATGATTTGCAAGTAGATACAAAAACGACATCCTGTAAGACGATGAAAGGTACTGTTTGGGGTTCTTACTACAGGGTGACGTCACCTATCTCTCCCTCAAACAAAATTCACTTGCCTTATTATCAGTTTTTTGCAGATTAATATCTACCCCTATGGTGCTGTCAAGCAGCCAAGTCAATGGGAAGTGAGTCAATGGTGCCTACCCCTTTAGAGTCAAATAATCCGGAAAAGGTCTGCTGGTCAAGCCCCAGCATTCCACAGACGGACACTCAATAACCTATTTGCCCATTTCCAAGTCTTGAACAGCTTTCCCTTGCGTGCGTTTCGATTACTAAGTGAAGGAAGTCATTTAATGAGAAGGAACATAATGATTCAAGTGAATTCACGCAACTGCTTATAACAGAGTATTTTTCACCTTCATAGCAACGTGTCTGGGAAGCTTATATCATACTTTTAAGAGCCTAAAAATGTGTCACCTAAAATGTAAATGAGTACTAAGGGTGAGGTGGGCAGTGGGCTGGTGGCCATGGTCTGCAGGGACCAGCCGGGAGGGAGGGCTACGGAGGCACAGAACAGAGATGGTTCCCTGTGAGATTTCATTTTACAAAAGCTTCTACAGTTAAAAAAAGATGTTCAAAGTCAGGACCCTGTTAAGGGGATGGACCCCCTGGAAACTGACAGACAGACCTGTGACCCCAGGCCCTGCAGGCAGCACACCTGGAATGCAGAGAGCTCTGTCTAGAAAGCGATGTGCTGTCCAAGCCCTGCCCCGCCTACCTCCAGGGAGCCCTAGGCCCCCGCTGAGCTGCCAGTCCCCTTCCCAGGTGCAGGAACGGCAGGGCGCTGTGCTGCCGGGCGCATACACTTGGTGAAAGGTAATCATGAGACTAGCCTCTTCCCTTTTGTGGATATGTTCTCAAAATAAAGATCATTTTAATTTTTTAAAAATTCTACATTTCTAAGTCTGGAAGAAAAAATAGAAACTGTCCATATTTATCTCCCCCGAAAGCCCCCACTCCTGGCCTATGAAATCTTCAGGATTTGGGGGAGTCTTTGCCTACGAACCAGCTAGCAGGAGATGCTGCCCAGGCAGGTTGCCTCGGCCCCGGAGCTCATTCCTTTGCCTGTACCCCCTTTAGAAATGAAAAAATAAACCCATCAGCTTCGTGTTGCCAATTTTCCCTCAGTTCTCCACACCTCTCCCACCTCCCCACATTTCCTCCCACTTAGCAACCAAGAATATTGAATGTGAGGAGAAAAAAATAGCAGAATTGGAAAGCTTTTTAAAAATACTTAACCAAATGCCTGGGCTGTGGCCATACTTCCTCCGTTTCCTGAAGGTTCCTTCAGGGCCAGAGTGGGGAGGACCCTGGCTCCAGGCAGTGTCTGGTGGGGACTGACGGATGGGGTGGACAGCAGAGGCCCCACTGGTCACTCACAGTTCCCCCTCCAGCTCCCCACAGAGCCTTGAGGGAGGGGTGGTGTATCCAGCTGCCCCTTATTAAGGAGTGTTCTGTCTGGTTCTTTAACTTGATTTTATCTGGGTTATAGATCAGTGTTTCCCCTGTAGCCCTTATCATTGTGTAAATGTAGACATCCTCCCCAGTCTGCTCGGTAAGAGGTGACCCTGGCAGCGAATCAAGCCTGAAGGAAGGGCTGTGTCTTTCAGGGCATACCTGGCGGCACTCGGAGTGAGGCCACTGTGGCTCCAGCATCTGAGGGGCTGGGAACAGGACATCCAGGGTTTTGGAGGAGGGTGGAATCACATGCACAAGCACCTAAGAATCAGGCCCTCTTAAAAATAAAACAAAATGAAAGCTGAGCAGAAAGCATTTTGGCAGACGGCATTTGGCTCCTCCCCAGAGCTGGTCCGTGCTGACTGCCCGGGTCAGGCACCCTGGCTTCTGAGCATGCTGGCTTGTAATGGGGCCCTCTGCCCTAGCTGCCAGTTTCCTAGTCTTCCCCACCCTCTTCCAGATCCACCCCAGGCTCTGCACAGGCCTCCGGGGCAGTGAGACGAGGAAGCCGTGGGCAGTAGCAGGCAGTGAGTGGCCAAACTGAGAACAGACCCTAGCTTCATATTCTCAGCAACCCTTTCCCTCTTCTCGATTTTCGCCTAAAGGGGGAAAAAAAATTACACCGAGCTAGTCGCTAAACTGAGCGTTGGAAAACTTGCAAATAGCGTTCCACCTGCAGTTGGAGATGTGTCTCTTGCTGTGAGCAAAATGGTGGGTGGCATTCTCTTACATTTGGCGAGGTGTTTGTCATTTCAGAAGCCTGGATTCTATTTCCCTCGGTCTGCAGTTTTGCTTGCATTTAGGATAGAAATCTGTCTCATGCTTTGTCTCCTCTCTCTGGGTGAAGTGTAAGGCTCCCTCAGTCCTGGTGCACAGTGACTTGGCCACTCAAGACAGCATGAATTCTGACCAGAATCTCACCACAAGGTCCCAGCTGGCTCCCTGAACTGAATCTCAGAGTATTTCAGCCAGGGATGGTAGTAACCACGTTGATTGAAACTTCTCTGTGCCAGCACTGTACTAGGCCATGGATGTGTTATCTTCAGTCCCTGCGTTAGCCTTGCAAGATAGCTACCGTGACTTCCATTTCACAGAAAAGAAAATTGAAGCTAAAAGTGGCTAAAGAACTCGCCTTAGTTTTTCCAGTTGAATAAGTAACAGAACAGTGATTCAGCCCCAGGCCTGGCTCACATCAAAGCTCTCTGCACAGTAGCATGAGCCTCTCCTGAGCTGACAGCCGTTTCTGTTCATGTTCTTTTGTTAACTGCTTCCTTCCCCCTCTCGTCACTGCCACTTGACCATCTCCATCATGCATCCACGAGTTGACATCTCCAGATGATCCGAAGTCCTAATTCAGTTACTTGCCAACAAATAGCATTTAAACACACACATAGTCACATACCCTTTTTTTTTTGCTCTAACCTCAGTGAGGAGTCAGAGATCCCATGTCATCCTCACAGTCACCAGCATTTGGGCGGAGTTTTTCTTTTTATAAAGCATGTCCTCATTCCATCTTTGGAGCAGCCCTATAAAATGGGCAAAGGTCATGTGATCTCATAACCATTTTACTGATGAGATAATTGAGGCTCCAGCATATTAGGAACTTACCTTGATTCTTATAATCCAGGCCTAAGAGGCCTGGAGAGAAACGAGAGTTCCTCTCCCATCTGCCTCTGCTCTGGTTTCCTAGCTGAGGCCCTCCTCTTAGGTGCAGTATTTACTGTGTGCCAGGAACTGTTCCAGGAGCGGGGAAGAGGCACAGCTGAGACAGGAGCTCCAGGGTTCTGACTCCTAGCCCACCCCACCGCCACCACGTCACTCTTTAACCTCTGTGTGGCTGTGGAAGATAGAGCATTTCCAAGAGAGGCTTCCAATATCCAGTATAACTGTAACTCCCGTTACAATTTACTCTGAATTTTCAGGCACGATAGGGAATAGAAATCCCTGCATGTGTGCATCTATGCGTGTGGAGTACCTCCCGCTTACTTACCCTGGATTTGGGGCTCCTTCCCGTTTCCTCTCCCTCAGCTAGCATCACTCGCCAGGAGTGGTTTCTCTCCCTTCCTGCCTCCCTCCTTGGGAAGTGCTCCTGGCAGCCTAAGGGCCCAGCAGAGAAGAGGTGAGGCGACTGGGCTGTGAGGAGGAAATGGATGGTTCACAGAAGTTCCCAGGCACACGTGTCCCATAGGGAGACAGGAAGGTGACTTTCCAGCTTGCCGGAGAGACTGGCCAGAGTGAGAAAGTTAGGGAGATTCAGGGTTGGCCAAGGCCTTTCCTTGCCTCTTGTCCCATATTCTAGGGGTCAGGTGCAAATCTTGATTGGTGAACACTCTGCACCATGTAAATGAAGAACTAAAAATTGCTTCAGGCATCCAGTACAGTTCTCAGCCACAACTACTGAATTATTTTTATTTTTATTATTTTTATTTTTTTGAGACAGTCTCACTCTGTTGCCCAGGCTGGAGTGCAATGGCATGATCATAGCTCACTGCAGCCTGTCTCCAGGCTCAAGCCATCCTCTTGCTTCAGCCTCTCAGATAGTTGGAATCACAGTTGCACGCCACCATGCCTGGCTTACTTTTTTATTTTCAATAGAGGTGAGGCCTTGCTATGTTGCACAGGCTGATCTTGAACTTCTGAGCTCTAGCGATCCTTCTGCCTCAGCCTCCCAACGTTTTGAGATTACAGGCATGAGCCACTGTGCCCAGCCCTAATTATTTTTAGAGAAAAAATGTTCAATGTAGAAACAAAAGCATCTCTATTTTGAATAGTTAATTGTTTCTTATACACTGTTTTCAAAAGGAACTGGGGAAGACACACTAAGGTTGTGTCTGAATGCAGTGTCCCAGCTGGTGGAGGGAACGTGCCATTGTCCGTGGGTGAGGTTCAAACTTCAGATGATGGTTTTGTTTGGGGTTTCTAACATTTTACATCAGCTTCCCCGTACTTCCTGCAGTTGCACCAGAAGTCTAGGGATAAGTTGGCTGCAGGAATTGGCTGGCCATATTAACCTCAGATGTGTGTTGTAGGTACTTGGGTTTTTTGTTGTTGTTTTTGTGACAAAGTCTCACTCATGTCCCCCAGACTGGAGTGCAATGGCACGATCTTGGCTCACTGCAACCTCTGCCTCCCAGGTTAAGCGATTCTCCTGCCTCAGCCTCCCGAGTAGCTCAGATTACAGGTGCACGCCACCATGCCCAGCTAATTTTTATATTTTTAGTAGAGACAGGGTTTCACCATGTTGGCCAGGCTGGTTTTGAACTCCTGACCTCAGGTGATCTACCTGCCTCGGCCTCCCAAAGTGCTGGGATTACAGGCGTGAGCCACTGCGTCCAGCCAGGTATGTGGTTATATACACACGTGGCGTGTACGTAGAAGTTGTAAGTCTTCAGAATGCTCCATCTATGTGACTTTATTTCATCCTCACACAGTTCTGGATAGGACAACCATCCTGATCTTCATCTGACCGAGGAAGTCAGTGAGGCACAGGGAAAGCTGCCTTGCCCAAAGTGACAGCAGGAAACATGCTGAGATGGGAGACGTGGGCGATGCTAATGTCTGAGACGAAGCTCAGATTTGGTCCACCAAAAACCCAGGCAGTCCTTCCTTTGCAGCGCCAGTACCTCATGGTGTGTCTTGGAATCCTGAAGGTGATGAATAATATGTCATCGTTTCACTATATTTTGAGACAAATCTTGAGAAAAACTCCTAGGTGGAGAGCCGTTGCAATATTCAGATAATGCGCACTGCGTAGTACCTATGTGAAAATGCTCCCGGACAGACCCATGCTGGAAATAGTCTGTTGTGATTAATGCACATTTGCATGCACTTATATGTTGTCGTCTGCTCAGAGACATTTATTGTTTCTCAGTTATGGAAACAATTAAAAGAACAGTTTCCAGAAAAAACATGGCTGGGATGATATAATAAGTAGAGGCTGACAAATAGTCTGTCTGAAGGAAGTTTCCTTCTGCTTCCTGTGGCTTTCTCTAATGGAGTTAGAGAAATCGCTGGATGTGGAAATTGCAGCCTGTAAACTGCGTTAAGTTTCATGCCAAATCTTGTTTGTACTGCTTTAGCAACAGCTGCAGAAAGGAAGGAAATTGTGTCCCTTTATTGTAGAATGTGAACTTCTTCACAACAAAAAACTCACTCCTAAAGCCCCCAGATTGGAAAAGAAAACAGATTCAGAGAAAAGCATTGAAGATTCAAACCTCAGGAGACAGATGTGATTCTTTTTGGAACTGTTTTGATAGCATATCACGATACAGGAAAAAAGCAATAGTGTTTACTTACAAGCTTCCTAGAATTTAAAAAAGAAATCTATATTAGCTGAGATCCCTTAACCATTTCTCTCCCAGATAGGCCCAACGTGGTCTCTTGTGTGACATTGCCAGATGAACAGTGCCAAGCCTGTTTAGTAGGCACAAGCTGGAGAGGGGACTCAGTAGAGATGGGCAGTGCAGGAAGCTGGTGGGAGTGGTGGGATGGAGGCTGCCACCGAAACCCCTCTGTGTTCTCTCCCAGTCCCACGTGTCCCTATCAGCCAGCCTTCTCCAGCCAAGAACGCTAGACAGGGCTTGTACACCAGCAGGGAAGTTAACCACATGATGTAGCTCAAAGGCCTACATTCTAGGGACCCTGATCAGGCCTACATTCTGGGGACCCCCGATCAGGCCTACACTCTGGGGACCCCTGATCAGGCCTACATTCTGGAGACCCCATACATTCTGGGGAACCTGTTGAGGTCGTGTCTGTAATCACAATAGGAAAAGGGGGCCAGGGGTTCTTGAATCCAGCAGCTGTACCTTAAAACCATCTGAGGAGCTCTGAAAAATGTTGATCACCCCAGGAGTTTTGATTATTCGGTCCACAGTGGGACCCAGGCATCCCATTGGTTTTTTAGAAATGCCCTGGGTGATTTTCCCATGCAGCCCAGGTTTAGAGCACAGGTGTGGAGCATTGGTTCATGAAGACAACTCTTCATGGAAGGCGTGTTCACAGACTCACTCTCTTACGACTTCACTTTCTAACGTTGCTAATGCCAGTGTCCCCCCGTAATGTGGATGAAAAACATAGCTTGATGTTTTCGTTTTTGTGTCTTCTAATGACACAAAAGAGGCCAAAATTAGCCAGGATCTGTGGATGTGGTTTATGCTGTGTTTGTGACATTGAACACTGAAAGGAATCCCAGCCCAGGCCAGGCCAGGAAGCAGGATGCCTCCTTCATAAGAAAGATGCTGAAGAACGTAAAAAACGGGCCGAAGGTATTCATTGCCCTTCAGGGGTCAGTACTGGTATCCTCTCTTTCCTTCCCTCCTACCACCTTGCAGGTGACTGACATTTATAGCTGTGTTTTGCAGTGATTCTGGACGTGGGAGCAGCCTCTTAGATAGAACCATTGCTGACAGACGACAGCTTAATACAATTACTTTGCCAGACTTCAGCGATCCCGAGACAGGTGAGAATAAAAAGCCAGAGGGGACCAAATGGTGTCACGGAGAATGTGGGGGCCCGGGACCGAGTGCCATGGGATGAGACTGCTCGGGCTGGGGTTGGAGAAATTTCTCATGCAAATAGTTTAAAAACACTCAATTGAGGCGCATTTTCTCCAGCATCTTTTTCAAGTGTTTCACTGTGGGGACAGTCATAGGATTTGCCCAGCCCAGTGCTTTGAAATCTATTTCCCCCTTTGCTCTTGGAACTTAAAATTTGAAACTAAAACAAGGTGGTTTCTGTCCGTATCAGGTTTTCCCTCTACTCCCCTGTGTTTCCCTCTGCTTCCCTGTGTTTCCCTCTACTCCCCTGTGTTTCCCTCTGCTCCCCTGTGTTTCCCTCTGCTCCCCTGTGTTTCCCTCTCTCTTTGGGTTTTAGTCCTCGCTGAAATCACTGTTCACTTTCTAATCAGTTGCACCCATAAACACACATATACCCAACACAAGACCCCGCAGAGTGGCAGGTGGGTTCCCTTGTCCCCATGTGGAGGCCTGAGGCACTTCCTGGCTATGAGCAAATCTGCACACCTCATTGTGTGTGTGTTCCACATTTGCCTAAGTACAGGGGAGTGAGTCTACCTGTGCAGACCCCACAGTGGTGACACAGGTGAAGCATCCCTTACCCGAAAGGCCCGGGACCAGAAGTGTGTTGGGTTTGGGAACATTTGCATAAACATGATGAGCTATCCTGGGACTGGATGCAAGTCTCAGCACAAGTCCGTGTGTGTTTCATATCCACCTATACACACAGCCGAATTGTAGGTGACTTTATTTAAAGAACTTTGTTCATGATGAGACAAAGCTCTGACTGCATTTTGACTGTGGTCTTTCACATGAAATCAGGTGTGGAATTTTCCTCTTGTGTCATATCAGCACCCAGAAACACCTGGATTTTAGAGCATTTCAGATTTTGGATTTTCAGATCAGAGATGTTCAGCCTGGACCAATGATTCAGTGGTAATCTGGGTGACTTGACAGACCCACAAAACATAGAAGTTCACTCTTCTTTGAGCCTTAAAAATCATTCTAGAGCTTCATTTGGAACCTGCTCCTGTTCCTTCTCCCCCACCCACAGGGTACCATGTACGGCTTAATCTCTGTCTGGGTATGCCTGGTCTTTTATGGGCTGGCTGTATGAAAGGGACCACGAGGTTCTTTTCTTGTCTTTGTGCCACATCCCAGCTCCTGCCAGAACCCTTCCAAAGAAAGCCTGAGAGCAGCCCTGAGTCCCACACTGCCACGGCTTCTCCCCTGGAAAAACCTATCTAGGAGGGATGAGAGAGATAGAGGCTTTGGGAGCCAGATGTGATGTCAAACCAGGCCCACCCCACAGCTGCCTCACAGACTGCATTTCTGCCCTAGGCTCCCTTCTACCAAATTTAAAGCCAGCTTGAGAAGTCAGATCCAAAGGTCCTGCGGCTCCTGGGTCCAAAGATTTTTAGGCGCTGGAAGCGGTACAAATTGAAAATTGGTACAGTTTAACCTAGCTTGCAGCCACCGCTTAAAATGTGGACTAACTGAACCATTGAGAAACCCACCCCCTGGAGTGACCTGACCACCCTCACCCCAGACAGGTTAGCAGTCATTGGTGGGCTTAGACTGCACACCAGGCAGAGACCCTGGCTGGAATAGCACAGCAGAGTTCTGCCTCATCCCAGTTCCTGCCAGAGAGACCTGTCTAGGCCCTGTCATTGTGGGAAAGAGGTCAGGCTGTCAGGACTAGCCACTGCAAGGTGAGGCTCGGACACAGGGAGAGAAGAGGAAGTGAAACTCACTATAGCACCGGCAGCAATTTCCGCTGATTCAAAATAGCTGCTGTGGCTACCCAGAGCTCTCTTCCCCCTTTTCTCCCTCCCAAATATCCTGTGAGAACAGCCACACAAATTCAGACCCCCTTTCCTTCCAGCTGGCTTGGACCTGAATTACCCTGGAGGTCCCAAGACTTTAATGCCGCATCACATTGAGAACAGATAGTGTTAGAAAATGAATGAGGCCCTTGTTATTCATTCTTCCCATTGCCCCTTGGGACATTTCCACTAGTGTGCTCTAGAGTCTCCCATCTTTCTCAGATGCCACGGTGTTTAGGGGAGGTGTGTCTGTGTGACACAGTCTGGGGTGCCACTGTTCCCAGGTTGGGTCCGGCCCCCTGGTCTTCCTCCTCCCTCTCCGCTTAGTGGTACTGATAGAGCCACTCTCTCTGATGGGGCACCCATTCATTTCCGGAGAGCCTAGGTGTCTGGAGTCAGGACCTTGGGCTCCTGTGCCCTTCCTCAACAACAAGGGGAAGCCACAGCCTCCCAGATACTGCCACAGATGGTTTCATTCTTGTGTCATCCATGAGAGTCCCTCTGAGACTCCAGCTACCCCGCACTTCCCCCATCCCTCCCCAGGCAGCTACAAAATACTGATTTGCACGTAATTTAACCAAGAGACCAGGAAATCAGAAAAATGGAAAGCCATTTTAGGAGGCCTTATCATATTTGTAAATGAGGAGTAAAACATTCTGAAATGACAGTGTAAATCAAAGAAACTTACACATTAGGAAAGCTTGCTTAAAAATGGAAAAAAACGTCTCCATCTTGATTAATAAAGCCCAGTTGCCTGTGACTCAGCTCATGGTGCAGTCACAGAAGGGCAGACGCTGTCACTCACACACCTGTGTGGAGAGCCTGCCTTGCGAACCACCCACGGATTGTTTATTTCTCTCACCTTGATTTGATTTTAAGAGGAAATACATTACGTAATTCAAAAGCTAAAAACTAATTCACAAGGTGCTGTAGAGAAGTATTGCTTCCATCCCTGCCCCTCCATTTTATCTGTTCCTAAAGAAAATCACATTTATCAGTGTTTTGTTTACCCTTCCAGTATTTTTTCACTCAAACAAGCATATGTATCATTTCCTCTTCCTCTTTACATAAACGACCACACACTGTATGTGCTTTTGAGCACCTGCCATTTCGCACTTCACAGCGTATCTGAAGACACCTGCATACCCATCCGTGGAGAATTTCCATATTCTTTTTTACAGCCATCTAGTATTCCATGACCCATGGATTTTACATTCTGGATTCTTACCCACCCAGCATGACCACAGTCATTTTTCTTCCCTTTGCCTTTACACAGTTTTCAGTTCATGTGCTAAAGGAGCCGGCTAATTCTGAATACCCACTGCAGTACTGCTCATCTAGAAAAGCAACTGGGCTGTAGAGGAAAAGAGAAAAGGATCTTATCCGAGGTTGGAATGATTCTCAGTGAAACAGAAGTGACCCTGAGATCAAATGTGGCCCGGGAGAACCCAGCCCTGGCGGGTGGCAACTCATCAGCGCCATGCCCGACACTTAAATGCTTTTCTAAATCCCCTTTAAAGGGCACAGGCGTCCAACACCAGCAGAGCCCGGCGGTGTTAGCATCCTTGAGGGAGCACGGCCACAGCCATGGTGAACTTCCACTGTGGAGCGCCTGCCAACCCCGGGGCCCGGGCCCAGAGTCACCCACTGTGCAGACAGATTCCTCTGCCAGGACACAAGTCCTCTTGGATCAGTTTTGTCTTGTTTTGTTTTCCCCCAGAACTACATTTCTTTTTTTTTTTTTTTTTATTTCTATTATGGAAAAATTTCTAATATACCAGAACAGAGATACTAATAGTCCCATTACCCACCAGCGAGTTTTAGTAATCAACATTCTCCTTTTACCTCTCTCTCCCGTCCCACACTTGCTTCTCCTAGAGTATTTTAAGGCAAGTCCTTAATATCCTATTTTGCCTGTTAGGATTTCAGGATATATGTCTAAATGATAAGAGCTTAAAAATATATAACTACAATACTATTACTATATATCCTGGGTCCTTCTGCAGTGCAGCCTCAGTGTGCGTGATTTTGGAGGTGGTTGGTTAACTAGAATATGGTTTCCTACCTCTGAAATTGTCCATATGCAGAGATGATGAACAACATGAGGAGTCACCCACGTCCATAAGCTTTGAACTGGCCGAGTCCACTGTAGCTAATAGAGTGGAATTCTGTTTTATTAAGCAGATGTGTCAAACCAAAATAGCCCCATACAGAGCATGAGTTCCCCTCAGGTATCACTTTGGGCGTCCCTTCCTCCCGCCTCTGCCATCTCACAGGCCCCAGCCAGTGAAAGAGGACTCAAATAGAGTGACAGTCTTTCCTTTGAAGCTCTGAGTCATTGTCTTTTATTTGGAATAAGTTGGTAGTTCCTTAAATAGAGAATGGAAAAAAATTATTTTATTCCTTTGCCTTTAAAACAGGATATAGGGTAAGGGGATTTATGTTTGAAAATTGGCAGATATCACCAAATACCTATCCAAAGTAAAATAAGTCTTTTCACTTGAAAGTCTGATCTGTTTTGTTTGGGGGATTTTCTCATTGCCGTTGCAGTGGTCTTCCCATTTCCACGTGTTCCTCCAGCTGTTAGACACTTAGGCGGCTGCACTGACTTCTTTCCCAAAGTGCCCAACCAGCACACCCAACCATAGACCACCCCAGAAAACTTAGCGCCCCCTGTCATCATGCTGGGACCACCACATAGTGTTGCAACTCAGTACTCTGCACCTTGGAAAACCTTGTTTTCAAGTAAACTGTATATAAGTGCTTCTCATAAAAAACAAATCTGTGTAAAGTCAAGTCCTAACCCTTTCCAGTTGAAAAGCAAATTGTGTCCTCTCGAATGTTCTGGATATTGTAGGCCAAAGACGTATTCTTTTCAGTGGATCACACTGCTGAATCTGTGCCCAGGTAAACCTTGAGTTATTTTTATTCATGGTGGTGTTGCAGACCAGCTAAATAACCAGTGGAAAAACAAATTTGTTTTCTTCGAAAAGCACTTGTATTCTATTGTCAAGTAGAGGAATGATTGTGTATTACATGACCTCATTTTCTTTGCAGCTTATGTGAGTATATTAAAAGCTAGTTTATTTTTTCTTTGTGTTTCTAAAGTTTTTTTTGCCTTTATCCTTTTTTTCTCTTTCACTTTTTTAGTGTCAGATTCCTCCTCCTCCTCCTCCTCTCCTCTTTCAAGAACCGAATCTCCTCTCCACCTGTTTGTGTCTCCTCATCTTCATTCTCATCCCAAACCTGACACCTTTGTGTGGCCCCCTGCAGCTCATTCATTCAGTGACGCAGGTCCCCGCCGGGAACCCTCTCTCTGTAAACATGGTTTTTCCTTTCTTGTTAGACCTACTTCATTTGCCTGTTTTACTTTCTGATAATCTTCCTAACTGATAAGCTGGAGAGGAAACTTCATCAGACTTGCCAGAGAGAAATCTTGCTCATTTGAAAATCCAAAAGCTGTTTGGGGCAGAAGGAAATTGGAGATTCAGATATTAGAGCCCAAGTTCCAGCCTCCTCTTTGAAAAGTAAAGGAGACCTTCTGGGCAGGAAAGATGGAAGCTTTTCTAGAATATTGCCTCTAATTCTTGGGTCCTTCCATGCTTTCCTGGAGTTTGATATAAATGCATAAAAATTAATCCTATTTAAGAAAAGGCAAATTACAACATTTTGCAAGTAAGAATTTAATCCTTAAAACCCGTTTTCAATTTAGAAATGAATTCACCCAGTGTGTAATCATCAAGCCTGTATTCTAAAGGTCGTGGCCACAGCACTTTCAACATGGGTTCTCAAACTTTACCGTGCATTAAAATCACACAGAGAACTTTTAAAGCAGCTGATCCCCTGGTCCCCACCAGCAACTTGATATTCACTGGGCCTGAGGTGGGGCCCGGGAATCTGGATTTATAAATTGCTCCCCTATGAGTCCAATGCCCATGGATTTAGACCACATTTTGAGAAACAGTACTATAAACTATTTTCCATTTGCAGTGAAGGAAAATGTAGGGTTCGTGTTGTGAAACTGTGCAGAAAAATTGAACGGTATTTTAGTCTAATCTTGCTTTTAAATAACACAGAAATTTTGAAAGTCAGCTTTAGGAAGTTCCAGAACCTGTCCATGAACAGCCCCGACAACAAGAAAGATGCCTATGTGAAAACGAACACTGGTTGGTAAAACTCTTAAATGGGACCTAAATCTGAATCTGACCCAGGGAGTCCATACTTGTTTTCTTTCACTGATTTATTTAATGTTCACTGCCAGCACTGCCAGAAAATTTAATCTCTGTATCTATGAATGATAAGGGCTCATCTTTGTTCCACATGCCCAGTCATATGCTGAACAAAAGCTCTTAAGGGGAAAGTGCTGCCAGAAAGATCCGCTTTCTCTAATGCGCGCCTCTTTCAGATGGCTCACCCGCTGTGTTCAGCTCACACACAGAAAGCCGGGGCAGAAATGAGATTACCATTTAAAATAAACCATCCATGCTGAGAAACCCGCTGACCATACTTATCTGCATATTAAGTGTTCTGAACTTTGCTTCCCTGGGAACGGCCCTTTTATGAAATGGAAGATGAAGATATTGTTTAAACACTGTGTATGTTGTTTTTAATGCACTTCTTAAAATAGGCATTTTCCCTTAATACAATGCCTACTGGCAATTGCCAACTTTAATTTTTCCAGAAAAATTCTTTACATTGACTTTTGTTGAGTTTATTGTCTTAAAATGGGATCTTCCCATTCTAGAACAACATGGTATGTTCCCACTGTCGCGTCCACTCTCTGCACAACAGACCCACCTGCCAGTATCTTTCATGTTGCATCCTGGGAGCCCTGTGCTCCTGTAAGCCTTTGAAAAGTGAAGTCCTGATTCTTCCAGTGAGGCACTTCGTGTCTGATTAATCAGTGACTTGCTGGGGTGATGAGCACCCACTGGGCTTTCTGCTCAATGGAGTATGTCCTGGGCAGGCTCAGTTGTTTATTCTTAATAAGCTGAAGTCATCTTTCCAGCCTCAGGGAGTGTCTAGCCAGTGACCAGGTATTTCAACTAAGACAGAAGCTCTCAAGAATCCACCCCCTCCCATAGAGTCAGCATTTAGTTAGAGAGGGGAAAACATACTGATAAACATGGAATTTCTTTATCAAAATTGTAATGAATTCAAGTCCCAACTTTTCTGTTGGGACCTGAAGTGTTATGAATTTCTCCCTCCAACCCTTTGACTTTATAGAAAGGAAACCTGGCCCAACCCTATAAACCACTGGAATCATGATTAGGGTTAATGTGTGGAAAGACCTGAAACCTGCTCGTTTGATTATTTTTCCCTTCCCTTTGGAATGTGTTTTGTTTCCAGAGCAGGAAACAAAGCACATTGCATGAATCGGTCAGCTTTCATGTGCTGGGTGAACATTTAAATGGATGGGGAATGCCCAGTTGTCCTTTCTTTGGTTTAAAAAGAAATTGTTAATGGAAAAACGTGTGTCACTCTTGAATGGAAATATGATTCTAGATAGCCAGACTTACAGTTGGAAGGTTATTGGAACTCCATTCGCTTTTTCAGCCTTAATTTTGATTTTTCAAATGTTTCGTTTCTTGGTTTTAATTTTCGGTTTGATCTGTTGTTCCAAGGCAACCCTCCAGAAGCATACTTTCATGGTTTTCCTTCCCTTTTTTCAGTTAGTAAGTAGCTTACCAATCTATTAACCCTTCTGAGGGCCTCCAGAGTCACACTCCCCCCACCATGGAATGTGCATTGTGGTTGTTGAGTGCTGGGAATGCTGAGATGACGTGGACATCCCTCTGCCACCTGCCTGCCCACTTTGCCACCTGGAGCCCGTCCCTCCTGAGATCCTAACGCTCTTCAGCGCAGCTTGGGTTTATATATGAGGAGGCAGTATTGATCTGAGGACTACAAAAGAAGGCATTGCAGGGAAAAGGCCCAGCTCGGGGTGTGCAGTGGGTGGATGAGAAGCACTCCTGGCACTGATTGGAAGCATGAGACGCCCTGCCTTCCCAAGGCGGGTGGCCAGTACATTTTAGGGAGAGAGAACCAGTTGGATCTTGACATTTCTGTAATTAATGCAATTATTATTGCTGTATAGGAGAGCAATTCTAACTGTTGATTTTTCTAAAAATAAGCAGACATCTTAAAACTGTATCTACCAAAATTGAAAGGAATTGCTTAATTCCTTGGATGTAGAATCAGTGCTTTTTTTATATTCTTTTTTCTTTTTGAGACAGGGTCTCATTCAGTAGGTCAGGATGGAGTAAAATAACATGATCACAGGTCACTGCAGCCTGGAACTCCAGGGCTCAAGCAATCCTCCCACGTTGGCCTCTTGAGCAGCTGGGACACCAGGCACTCGCCGTCACACCCGGCTAATATTTTAATTTTTAGCAGAGAGGAGGCCTCACCATGTTGCCCAGGCTGGTTTCTAACTCCTGGGCTCAAGCAATCCTCCCACCTCAGGCTTCCAGAGTGCTGGGATTACAGGCATGAGCCACCACACCCACCCTATCAGTGCTTTTGGTGGTGTTTGTCATTCATGAATTGTCACATTTTCCAAAGGATGTTTCTTAGAGCACTGATCTCTTTGGTCAGATATATTTGGACAATACTCAGTCTCCTGCCTAGTGCTTCCTAGTTCACCTTAATCACATTAAATATTCTGAGACGTGCTGCACTTTACAGAATTCAAGACTTCCTTGACTTTGTTTGACCCAGTGTTCCTGAGCTAACTTAATCGTTTTTTCCACCCTAGGAAATCAGTGTTCCATGGATTGCATTTGGGGAAATGCTGGTGGATATGGGGATCCAGTGCATTTGAATGACCTGAGCCTTTAGCTTATGGCGAATACTGGCCCCCACCCTTAAGAGTTGATTCCACCCTCTGAAATCCAGCTCAGCCTAAATGTGCCTTTATTTCTGACCTAAAAACAGCCCATAATAGAAAAGAGGTATGTGTTGGTGGTGTCCTCACACATTAGGTGCTTCGTTAAAGAGATTTCCCTGCTTGGTTCCTTGCACCAACAAGGGCCAGCTCTGGAGAGTCACCCAGCAACTCATCGAGTCTCCCTCAGCCTTGTTTCCACATCTGTAAAAATGTAAATTTCATATTCTATTTGCACATGCCCTTATGGTCTGGCAGTCATGGATCCTGGTTTTCAGGACCAGTCAGCTGCCTTCCCCCGAGTTACATGCTGGGCAGCGAGGACCAGAAGAGTGGGGGTGGCTGAGCAGGATTTGAACGAGCCAGCAGGGCTCTCTGCAGGCTGCCCGTCACTCCTTAGAGGACCCTGGGCGCTCCCATCCAGGTGCCCTAGCAGTTGTCTTTCTGGAGAAAAGTCTGTGCGATGTTTTATTCCCCTCTCCAAGAATGTGCTAAAATCCAGATTACCGACTTGAGCTCTTGGCTCTGTTTTTCCTCTCATTGATTCTAGTGAAGTTGCTGCTCTCTTTAACAGTAAGTCACCGGGAGAAGAGAGTAAACACTTTAATGAAAGAACATATCTATAATAAGTCTGAGAAAGGAATTCAAGGGAGTAGTGGCATTTTTCTCTTTCCATTATGACTAGCATTTTATTGAGTTGCATTTTCTAACACTCAAGAATGTATATGGTGATCAGGAAGTGACTAGTCAACGAGGCGGTTTATTTTAGTCTCTGTTCCTGCTTAATAGAGCAAAGTAGCTCTAAAAGAAATCCATGCGTATATGGGACCCTCCCTCTGTGATGACCCTACCATTTTTGAGGGGTGGTACTTTTTAAAATTCAGCCCTAATGTATAACCTTTTTTTGCTATTTTAATTAAACTAAAATTAATATAATTCTGGTTAATTAGTTCTGTAGCATCTTTCTTTAAACAAGATTAAGTGGAATGATGGGAGACTGACAGGTCAGCAGTAAGTGGCACTCAGGTCCAAGTTGGGGAGTGTGTGTTCAGAATTAGAATATCCCAACCTGGGAGGCTTCCCCAGGACTCTGGCATCAAAGACACCTGGAGGCTCAGAGAGCCTTCCCCAGGCAGAAGGGCAGTTCCGTCTGGAGCCATGGCTTCATGAATATGCATCGAGGAGGGTTTAGGTGGAGATGGAAGCATCTGCCCAATGTAGTCCTCCAGAAGGTACTGTCTCTAGCCCAGAGCCACCGGCGGCAGCTCACTCTGACAGCTGGCACCTTCCTGCATGTGTGTGATTGGCTTCCCTCCATGCTTTCCCTGTGACCGCCTGGCCCTGCCAACACCTGCTGGCAGCATGCTACGCCAGCCCCGCATGCCCACCAGTGACAACATGTCCCCGGCTCTCCCTGCCTTACTGGGGTCCCTCCCTGAAGCTTCCCTGGAAAGAGCATTCCCCTTCAGGAGAAGACACGTGCTGTCAGGTTTAAAGGGTGCTTGATACTCTGTTAAAGTCAATGGGAAACTGTGATCTCGTCTTGGGGCTTTGACTCTTAATCCTTTTTTCACTTGGTGAAAAAGGGAAGTGTCTGCTAGAATGGTGACCAAGGTGGCTTACTTATCAGAGGGGCCCACAGCAGGAGCCCTCATGGTTGGTGGGACCGGGTGGGCAATGGCCCCACCCCTGCTGTCACATTGGGGGACACATGGGGCAAAGGCCATTCCCAGGGAAGCAGCAGATGGAAAGGAGAGCCGTGGCGGTGCTGTGCAAGGAGCCACCACCTGGAGTCGCCTCCTCAGAAAGCAGGACTACCCTACAGCAAAGATGGGGACTGTCTTAACTCCTGGGCACCAGGGGGATGAGGGGACAGCAGTTATGTGTTTTTAAAAGGTATGGAGAAATATGGCTGTTTTGAGGGCCAAAGAGAGAGTGTACCCTCACGCCTCTTCCTCTCCCTTCAAGAAATAAGAGACAGCCATCACTAGTTCCCCCACCTCCTCCCCGTCCTCAACCCCCAGGACATTCTGGTTCTTCGAGCACAGGTGACACACGGAGACAGAAGGGCGCAGAGCTGCCAGCAGTCTGCAGTGTTGGACTGATTTATTTCCAAGCCCTATCTTGAGAAACAGAATGTTTTTTTCCTGCTAAAAAATGAAAATTTTAAGGCAAAGCTAGCTGACAGAATGCTGAGTCATTCAGATTGCTGCTTAATACTCAGAGTCTTGAAGAGATGGAGCTGCTGCTTTTTCTGAGTTGTTTTGGGGGCATACCTTCCAAGAGCTGGAAGCAGAATAAGTTGACAGGTAATTCAGAATCACTCAGGACCAAGGGAAAACAGGTACAGAGATACGTTAGCAGCAGGTGACTTCTGCATGCCCACAACTGCAGTGGCTCAGCTACTTGTCAGAAAAATGTGGGGAGGGCAGGTGTCTGCCACTGCAGCAGTAGGCAGTTGGGGTGCGGCCACGTGCTGTCCTTCTCCCACGTTCACGCCCATGAGGCATGGAGTGAGTTCTCCAGAGCTGGGAAGCAAGGAGCTGCCCCAAATCCTGCCAGCCTCATGTGAGGTGGTCTGCTGACGTCTTTCTCTTGGTAGAGGATGTTTTTCACACATCACATAATGTGACTGTCCATTGTTTCTGGCACTGGAATGCTCGCCAAGTCACCGGGTGGGCAGGATTCCATCTGAGATCCAGCTCATCTCTGTGCTGTGAGGAAAGAGGGAAGGGAAGTGGTCCTTCAGACTGAGGCCGTCAGATAGTTAGATGGAGAGCTGGAATATAATATATGCTAGCTGTCTGGCAATGCTGCATGTGAAAAATGCAGTGATGTGAAGCATAACTAAGCCACTTAATTTATGCCTTATTTTATTTTATGTATGTATGTATTTATTTTTGAGATAGAATCTCACTCTGTCACCCAGGCTGGAGTGCAGTGATGCCTTCTCGGCTCACTGCAACCTCCATCTCCTGGGTTCAAGCAGTTCTCCTGCCTTAGCCTCCCAAGTAGCTGGGATTACAGGCACCCACCACCACACCCAGCTAATTTTTTAATATTTTTAGTAGAGACAGGGTTTCACCATGTTGGCCAGGCTGCTCTCGAACTCCTGACCTCAAGTGATCTGCCCATCTCAGCCTCCCAAAGTGCTAGGATTGCAGGCGTGACCCACCACTCCCAGCCTGTGCCTTTTCTTAACAGAATTATTGGCTCTGGGATCCCTTTGGATGATGAACTTTAGTGGAATAGGACTCACATGTAATTGCCACCGCTGAAGTCTTTGTGAAATTCACCATAGGTGTTATGTGCATTAGAAAAAAAGACATTTTTTGGAAAAACTTCACCTGCAAGGGCAATTTGAGCTCGCCCTCCCCAGTGTCCTACTTGTGGCACGCAGCGTTTCTTAACAGCCTTCAGCGTATGATAGGAGCATGGGTCAGAAAACCCTAGGAGGGATTCAGAGCTTGGACTCGGTGCCCTGAGGTCAGTGGCCTTGGTTCCTCTTGGTTCCTGGTCCTCTTGGCCCATGGGGAAATGCCTTCCCACCACAGTTCCTGGGTCCTCGGCTGCCTTTCCCCACACATGGTGATGGAGAGGGGAGCCCAGAAGGAAACCTTGGATGTAGGGATCAGAACGTTCTTCAAGTGGCACTTTGCCTCTGTATCCGGTGTCCAAGATAACA